CTCAGAAACCACCTGTGTTAACTTCCTATTTGATGCTATAGCAAATGACCACAAACTCAGTGGCTTGACACAACACATAGTAATTTATTATCTCACATATATTTCCTGACAATTCTGAAGGTCTTACTAGATTAATATCAAAATGTTATCAGGGTCGTGTTCCTTTTTGGAACTTGTAAGGGAAAATTTGCTTCCTTGTCCTTTCTGGCTTCCGCAGGTTCCTTGCATTTGTTGGCTTAAGGTCTTTCTCCTCCATCTTCAAAGTCAGCAACATTACATGTCTCTGATTCTTGATCATCTCTCTGACCATGGCTGGGAAAGCTCTTATTTTAAAAATACATGTGATTAGATTGGACACATCCAAATAATGCAGGTTATCTCCACTTCTCAAGATCCGAATCTTTCATCACATCTGCGAAGTCCCTTTTGTCATACGCTTATCCATGGATTCCAGGGACTAGGGTGTGGGCATCTTGGTGTGGGGGGGGCCGTCATTCTACTCACCATACGCTTTTGGTAAGTGTGTATCATATATTTGTTGAAGGGATGAAGGAAGGATGGTACCTCATTCTTCAATTCTTAGAGCTTTGCTCCTCCCTAGTATTAGATGCTGACTGTTTAAAATTCAGTTGAGGTGTACCTCTTCCAGGATTTGGGAGTGTTTCTAAGTGAATGCATACCTCTGCTAAAGAACATTCTTAGGCAGTGTCATAGCTGATTATTCCTCCCACCTCTCACCTGTGAGCCCTGCAAATCTCATGTCTTGCTTTTTTCTTTGTATGTCCAGAGTATAGCACAGTGTCTGGCACATTTATTGATGTATCAATAAATTATCTGAACACACATCAACTTACATTTGGCATTTTGCCAAAGACAGAGTGGATTTAATTATGAGAGTTGAAAGCCATGTGGCAAGTTTGGTGGTGAGTACTGTTCTGAGCAGAAGGCCTTGTGTACTTTCTCAGGCCCCACTGGCAACATCTTCTGAGTCTGCAGACATTGTGGCTGGGAGGAGTTGCAGAGATAGATCCTCTAGCAGCAGCTTGGAGTAGCTTAGAGTTCTACCAAGTGTTTGCTGGCTCTGCCCCACAGAGAGGCAGGTGTGGGCCAAGCTGGGACTGCCCTGTTGCCATAAAGAGTATGTACCCTATGCCAGAACAGAGTTGACTCTTGACTTTGCAGAGGCACATTAATTCAACTGAAAGGTCAGCTTTTCTAAAGACAACGTGTTTTACAGAGGGCCTTTGTGTGGAGTTACTGAGGGCCAATTCAAGAATAACAGGAGCCCCAGACTGCAGATAAACAAAGGTTTGTCACTCTAGACACAGCTCCAGTCCTGTATCTCCTACTAGTAGGCCCATTTATATAAAAGTCAATGAGGAACTTAATCCAGGTACTCAACAAAGAAGGCCTTTTTTTCTCTTTCCGCTTTGGTTTGTGGTTGCTGTGCATGTCCTTTTTCAATGGCAGCTTTGAATAATGTTTATATTTCCTTTGACTTTTTACTAACTTCTGTAGTGAAGTTCCAAGATGTGAATGCCCTTCCCTCCTTTGAGATCACCAACTTCCTATTCCTAGAAGGTATGCCATTCCTTACTAGACACCTTCAGTTCTGCTGGCTAAGAAAGAAGCCCCATAGACTGACTAGGTGTTAGGTTACATTTATTGGATACCATGTAGTTTACTATAGTTGTTAAATCCTCAGATCAACCCAATGAAGTAGAAGCTATTGTTATATATTCCTAAATAAATTATTTTACACAAAATTGGCCCCCAAAAAGAGGGAGTCACTTATGTTTAGTCCTTACAAAGACAGTTCTATTGACTAATTGCTTTATTTTAAACCATAAAGTAACTTAAGCACTGTGTCCCAATGTTACATAAATGGACACCTATGCTATGAATCTGTCTAATATTCAGATATTTATGATATTATTTTCACTTTACAGATGAGGAAACTGAGAGGCTTGGAAGTTAAATTATTTGTCCAGGGCTGTAAAGCTAATAAGTGGTAGAGGCAGGACTCAAACCTAGTCATATAGTTTCCCACATCCTCGTGTAATCCTGCTGAGATTCTCCTCCTCCTCTTCTTCCTTCTTCTTCCCTTTTTCCTCCTCCCAGAGTCCTTTCAGTTTTCTTTCCAGGATATCTCATTATAGTCTGTGATTCTGTTTCCTTGCCCTCATCTGCTGTGTGACAGTTTTTCATGACCTTGATACTTCTGAGGAGTACTGGTTGAGCATTTCATGGAATGTCTCTCGAATGAGACTTGTCTGATGTCTTTGGGATCATGGATTTGTGGGAAGAATACTGCAAAAGTGAAGTGCCATTCCTAGGGATATTATTAGGATTTTTGTTAACCTTGATCTCCAAACTAAGGTGAGGGTATTCCTCCCCTCTCTTCTCCATCCTCTGTGTTTGAAAATCAAGTCTTTATATGCAGCCCATATAAAAGGGGTGGAAAGACTAAACCTTCAACTCCTGAAGGGAAGAGTATTTCCAAAAGTTGTTTGGAATTCAATGATAAAAATTTATATCTTCTCTCACATTTATATTTATCAATTTAATTACTCATATTAATATGAACTGATGTTTATTTATTGTCTACTTTGGGTTATAAGAAAATACAACTTTGTTAATTTTCTTATTCAAATTGTTCCCCTTCAAATTGTCTTTCAGTTGGCTCTCATGACCCTTTGATATGTCCCTACTCTCTTACTTTCTGAGCACTGCCTTACTTTCTGGCGCTATGAGATCTTCTAGTCTAGGCTCTCTTGTATTTCCCCTGACTCATCCCTAATGCCAGTCATTTCTTTGGGGAGTCTTGGTTCCTTTTATTGGAGAAGAATATTAGAAAGTAATACCTGTCTAGTAGTGTACTCATTGCTATTGAGATGTCATGACTTTCAGATTATCTCAGGGGACAGAGGAAGGAAATACCTGTGTGTGTGTGTGTGTGTGTGTATGGTAATGCATGTTACACACATACCTAAAATTATTCTTGGATTTGCCTGTTTCCATCCATAGTAAAGCTGTCCTTTTAGATCATTTTTATTTTGCTAAGTAGCCAACAGTAAGAGTATAAATTGCTGCTTTCTGCTACCAATGGTAAAGTTAAAAAAAAAAGAAAGAAAGAAGGTGGTGAAAATGAAGAGGGAGGCCTTGGCATAGTGTGGTGGACTCCTTCTCCATCCTCTAGTCAGATCATGTCATTTTAGAGGCAAAGACCTCTTAAGAGGTCAAGGGATTAGATAGTGGAACAGTCAGTATGGGGATCTGGCTTTCTGAAATGGAATCTCTATTTCCACCATACTTCATGGCTTTCAATAACTGGTCAATATTCTCGGCTTTGTAGTAAAGTTAGTCAGTGACTTCTTGGGATGAATTAAGCAGATTTAGAATGTAATTTTAGAAATTGGTAGGTTCAAGAGAAGTCTTCCGGAATATCATTAAGGAGAGATTTTGCTCTCTCAAATATATCTTTGGACAGTGACTTGAAATTGATGCTCTGAAATCCAGATGTTAGTGAGTGAATCTTTACAAATGATTATGATGATTGTTTTACCCTTGCTTACTTTTTATAACTATCTTTTAAAAGCCTTTCTTCTCTGAGGAGAGACCCACATGGCTCCTATTGGACAGATACTTTATATACACACCTGTTTTTTAGAAATAGGATATAAAGCAAAGAAGGAATCTGCTTGTTGTCATCCAAGGAGTTGGAGATAGAATGAAAGCAAAAGCATAAGCTGCAGCCTCCATGCCCTCTCTTAACAGGCCAACCACAGGCTCCTTTCTTTTAAATTACTTCTGGCAGCTTGTAAACAAAGAAAGAACCCTCCAGGGTTCTACCTCTGAACTGTGGAGCAGTCCTAGGATGCCTTCAAACATTTTGCCTCCTGTTACCTCTGAGGGGTGTGTGTGTTTATACTTTGTAAATCATGTCACCTTGTACCAGTAAAGTCTTCATCCTTTTCCATTTTTACCTTTTCCAATCCAAAGACTTAGCATTTTATTTTTGTGTAGTACATTGTGAACCTTCAAGGTGTTTAGTGGAAATAAATGGTAACAGCTGTTTTTTGCGTACAAAATATAATTGTGAATCTTAACCTTAACATGATCTATCCAAATTTATCCAGGTGTGGAAATGACTAGAAAAGCTCATTTGGGTGATCAGCCCAGTATGAAGCAACATTCAGCTGTTTGCTATATGTTGTTTGCTGTTACAGGTCTTTCTCTACCAAGTGCTCCCTTCTTAGTATTGCTCATCCTGTGTAAATTAGTGCACATCCACACACACACATATGCACAAGCCTTGAGGTCCCATCTTCTTTTATTGTTTTGTTTTCCTTCATAGGACTGTCTGTGGTACCACGTATTTTATTTCTTTGGCTTTTTGATTGTAGCTTTCCCCCACTAGAATGTAAACTCTGTAACAGTAGGAAATTTATTTGTTCTCTGCTATATCCCTAGACCAACAATAGTATTTGGAACATAAAAGGTAATCAGGGAGCCCTTTGAATGAATAATGTAAGTTGTAAGTTGTGATAATTTGGCCTCCTGATTGAGTATCAACACAAAGAGTAGAGTTTCATTTTATAGGGCTATTTTATAAGGGAAATTTAATTGCATTATTTAAAATGAGGATTTATTCAGCAAAACCCTCAGAATTTATGCTAGAAATGAGTAAATTTTCTTGGGAGTTATACAGTTGCTACAATAATGCAATGCTATTATCACACGCAAAGAACTCTGAAATTCTTGCTAAGTATCACTTAATAAGTTGGTGCAAGAAAGACCTAAAAACAAAAACAAAATTTTAAAAATTTAAGGTCAATTACCTTTAAATTCACTCAAAGAAATCTTGAACCAACTCTAAGCAACATTTCCCAATTTGATTCTTCTTTCTATTCACCAGATTTAGTAGAAGATGATTTTTTTGCTATAAAAATATTCTGAATAATATTTATCAACATAGAAAATGCTAAAAAGAATATGTGATGAAATATGAGGTAATTCATTTGAGGGAATATTACCATTCATTTGGAAGTACAATTCTGCTGATTTGTTTTTAAAAGAGTGCTACTCTACAAATATATTTTTATTTAAAATTTCAAGTGTCTGAGGTAATTCTTATTTTTTAAATCAGTAGACTTATTTGTTTAAGCAATAGTGTGATTATATCAAAGGGCCTGCAACTTGCCTAGCCATTTTATAAACTAAGTCTTTCAAAACAAAAATTCTTGATGTCAGACTTCTTGTAGTGTTCTCTCCAGGGCAAATAAACCCAGAAATAAAAGGTAATGTGGTTCATGAACATCATTGTTTACGTTTTTTGGACTAATGTGCTACATAAGTCATGTCTTTGTACAAGATTAGCATCTTTTCCTAAAATTGCTTTCTTTTTCAGAGCATTGGGGAATCATCAATGGCTATTGTGTTCAACCAACTGCTACCTATGATTAAACCTTCAACCCAGAGGACCAATGATGACTATAATCCTGAGGAGCTGCTGATCCTCCTCATATATATTTATTCTGTCACTGGGGAGTTCACAGTGGACAAAGACCTGGGAGAAGCTGAAGAAAAAGTGAAGAAAGCATTGGCTCAGGCCTTCTGTGAAGAGTCTAAATTGTCACCTTTGCTGCAAAAAATCACAGGTAAGTGTTGAACAAACTTAAAAGTACGTAAGTATCGCTGATGCAGATGTCAGGTTTAAAAGTAAAGGCTGTTTCAGGAAGAGGATGTGACATCTACAGTGGAATTGTTTAGAATTTCGTGTGGCCTGGTGATTGCTAGCTGCCTTCAGGGTCAGGTTTTCTCTACAGCATTTTTCTTTCCAGTCTTGGTTGTGGAATGTCCTTCTTATTAAGTGCATAGCAGAGTTCATGTTCTTTAGAGTCAAAGCCTTGTTAAAGTAGAACATGCTTATAGAGATAATGATAATCTTTAAGGAAAAAATGAAACAGTGCATCTTATACAAAGGGTTTTTCTTTGTTTTTATTTTTTTTCTTTTCAAATTTTCTTTTTTTAATTCTTTTGTTTTTCTTTTTCCTTTTCCTTATACAAAGGGTTTCTATTGACATACTCTTTTTGGAAGTTTAAATTCTCATTTCCAACTTGAAGTCTGGTTCTTTAAGCTGTTATCATATATGTGTCATGAAACACATTGTCATAGGATTGGAAATTGCCACTTTCAGGAGTAATTTCATGTTTTGACTTTGCATTTGGTGTGATTCAAAATGATACCCTAACATCCCAGTAAAGTAGGCTATGCTAGTTTGGAGGAAAATGTGTAGTACTGTAAAATCTGTTTTCACTTCCAGTAGGAAATGTGATATAACTCATGAAGGCATGCATTTGTGACATGTTTTATCAAATTCAATATAGCTATTTATATTTTGAGTAAAGCAATTTCCATTGGTATAGATCAAGTTTATGTCTGAGAGTGAGAAATTATTAAAGCTTACCTGTAAAATATACTTTAAAGACATACCAAATTTCCATTCATTCATGTGTGTGTGTGTGTGTGTGTGTGTGTGTGTGTGCGCACGCGTGATGTTTAGGTATATATAGGTCTCTGCACTCAGAAAGGTTCAACTTAGGCATATTATACATCCTCCAACTTTTCCTGTTGTTCCCTATTGGGCTCACTGGGATGGGGGTGGGAGTGGGCATCCAGAATTCTCCAAAGCAGACCCTGGAGCTATAAACCTTAGCATACTGTGTGCATTTGTTTTATTTTGTGCCACTACTGACCTTGCCTGTGGTTGGCTGTAGAAAGTGAAACCCCAATGAAATGGAAACTGAATGAAGTTTCCACAGAAATGGAATGCTGCTTCTTTGCTTAGTACAGAGCCTGTTTGCCAGTATAAAATCTACTTAAGCAAAACTTGTGGGATTTATTCCCATTTCATTAAGTACAGGACTAGATGTGATTACATGTGTTTGTTTGGCTATAAATAAATATTGACTTAAAGAGCTTTAATATGGTTTATGTAGTACTTAGAACAGAGCTGTAGTTGAAAATAAATTTGAATGCTACGAGAATTTAATTGGATGTTATTCTTAAAATGACTACTTTCAGAGACAGACAAGGGTAGTATGCGTGTTTTTACTGAGGTTATTTGGCTAGGTCTTTCTAATGCTTGCATGCTGCCATGTTGCTTTGGGGACTGAAGTCATGCTGTAAGAGTCTTCATTTAATGTTTGCTCACGTGTTTATTGATCTGGCAGTTCATTTTTACTATTTTGTTCATGATCGCTCAGGATACTGCATTTTCTTGCTTTTAAAATACTTCTGTGCATGTGTGTATATTAGGAAACTTTTTTTGTAAGATCAGACGTTGAAAATTAAAAAATAAGAAGTTGTGGAGATTTTAGTGTATTTTAATTTTTAGAGATATTTTATAATATTAAGTATACATTCTTGTCTAGTTTAACTTTGGACATACAGTTTAAAGAGAGTGGAGAAGACATGTTTCTTAACCTTGGTGTTCATGAACTAGCCACTGAAACACACTCTCTCTCCTTCTCCTTCTCCCTCCACCCCCCACCTGATTCTTCACATGCCAAAAGGACCTTATTTCTGAAGATAGACTTCTACTAGGCCAGTATGGGTACAGCCCTCCTTAAGTATGTTGAGAAGTCAAATGTCCTAAAAAAAAAAAAAAGGTGGTGTTGGGGGTTGTTTATATTTACAATTAGCTGCTGAGGAGAATGTTTAATCTACATCTCAGGATAAAAAGTAATGGCAGAGTATGGGGCAGTGGTGACTCAGTTTTGTAAAGTGGGAGGGATGTCTCAGTTTGTATTGGAACAATTGAATTGTCTTCCAAATGTGCTCACTATCCTAGAAGTAGGTTAACCTGGCTTGTACAATGAGCCTGCCTGTAGAATTGTGCTTATGTTATTCCAGGATATGGTCTTGCCTTTCTTGTAACTGAGTGGAAGAATTTATTTGATGCTTTGTGCATGTCTTATGGTGGATGAAAATTTTGTTAAAAAGAATTATTGGAAACAAGCAATTAATCAATAAAATAATTCTGCTCTTTATGTAATGTTACAGTTTTATCATCTTAACTGTTGATATGTTCAAGAAAGCAGCCCTTTCTCTGTACTGGTTGAGGGGGTGAATTCAAATATAATATATTTGATATATTGTAAGAACTCTAGCACAATAAAAAATTGTTAAAAATTAAATTAAATTAAAAAACGTATATAATTTTATAGAAAAAAAAACCTTAAGCATGCTGTCATCTCTCAACTGCTAAGTGATAGAACTAGGAGTTAGAGCTCATGTTGTCAACCCTGAGATCCTAAACCTGTCATAGCCCATTGTAATCACTGCATTTATTTATTCTCTAATTCATGCTTGCTTGCATACATTGTTTTATAACATGAGTGCACAATCATCCCATCATATTGTTATTATCTGGACAGAGAGTTAATATTCTTGTTAATATATTAGGTATTGTCTATCCTTTTTAATCTGTCTATATTAGCCACTTGTAGATATTTCCCTTATCTTCCTGTTTTCATGTATATATCCTCTTTGTTTTGGCATTGTTATTGAGAAATTAAAATATTATTTCTAGCCATTGAAATCTATTAGTTGTCTAGCTTTTTAAAGCAGAAATAGAAAACATAAAATTTTCTTATTTCAGAAATATATCTTGACAGTAATTGCCCATGCTTAAAATTCGTATTTCCTTTTATCTGTTCACTATATACTTTATTTCTGACATTTTCTTTCATGTCCCTCTTTTCTTTCTTTGTGTGGAAAGGACAATAACCAACTGCGCTTGACCAAACAAAACAAAAACTTAAGCATGTTTGTCAATGGCAGTATATATATATATATATATATATATATATATATATATATATATATATATATATATATATTTTAAATCTGCTCTCTCTTTAATAGATACTGTTGGGGGGATTTTTAGAATAGTGGGCAAAACTTCTTTTCCACTTGCACAAAATAGCAATGATTGGCTGACTGGGTGTTGCAAGCTCTAAAAAGAAAATTGGTCCAGCCATCATATGCTGATTAGTGTTTTGCTTCCTCAGTCCTGCTAAGTTCAAAGAGAGTGTCGGTTTCAGTGTACATTAGATTTTGTATGGCAGTCACAAGAAAAAACAAAGGAAAGCCATTTGAACTTTCTTCAGAGAATGAAATAAAATGCGAGTCTTACAGATTTGTGTATGCTTGGAATGTCATCATACAGAGAAGTATATCAGAATAAACTTAGAGTTTGGATGTAAAACTTCTTGATTTAAAAGCGTGGACTCTGCCATTTCCTAGTATTGTGGTGTCGTAGTGGGCAAATCACTTATCCTTGAAACTAAACGTAACTGCCCTAGCAATGACTCATGATTTTGCTGAGAATAAAATGATATTATGTGTATGAATAAAGTTTGCATCCATATAGGATTATAAATCAGTAATTATTATTTCGATAGCACCTAGGTGTCATATAGGGTCATTCTCTTCAAGCCTTTTCTCCTTATGGTACACACAGACAATGAGAACAGTTGTATGGTATACTGAGGTGAGTGGACAAGACTGTTGTGGTCCAAGGCAACCAGTCCTGGGGTCATAGCCACTCAAGGCTGTAACCACTTGACCCAAGGACTAAGGTGAAGCAGCAGCTTGGCACCCCATTAGTCTCATAGGAGCCAAGCAGTGGTTTAAGAGGGTTGTTCAGAAAGCTCTGAATCAGGAAACAAAGAAAAACAAAACTTCTGCATTGTTGTTTTGAAGTCAGCCATATCATTTTAAATTTATTAAATGTTAGTTGTACAAATTAATGGGTTTCATTATGAGATTTCCATGTATGCAATACCTTGCTTTGATTATATCCATCCTCCCTCCTCCCTTCTCTTATGCTTCTCTTCCTTCCCTCCCCCTTGCAATATTTGTCTTTCTGTGTCTAGCTTATTATTACACTTAACACAATGTCCTTTATTTCTATCTGTATTACAAATAATCATATTGGTTTTTGACACATGAAAGTATTTTGGAAAAACTTTTTTGCTAATCAATTTTTGTTATTATTTATTTATTTCCTTTAAGTTTTTTATGGTGTCTCTAAAGAAAAGGTCAATAAGGGAGCTACATCTATTTTGGTCAGGTTTAATGTAAAGCCAGAGGATAAATAATTCAAAGTATCTTAAAATTTTGTGTTTCAAGAATCGAGAGGCATGATAATACCATAAAAATGATATTTATAATTACTAAAATCTTATTTTACTTCCTGTTGATAGTTTGGGACTATCAATTATGGCATCATTGTTTTAGGATTGCATTCAGATATATGAAATAAAAATATGCCAGATTAACTTGCCAAATAAGGATTTATTTTCTCAGCAAGCCTACCAGAGACAGGCAGATCTCATACTCTTTTAGACTTCCTTCTTCAATATCCTAAAGTGTGGTTTAGTCATTATTGTAATGAGGTGGACACTTTTCCTGAGGCATTGTGCACATGTGTTGTGTAAGAAGAGAGGAAAGATGAAGGTAAAAACCATATATTAATTAAGTCTGCCTCTTTTTCATTAGAAAAACAATAGTTTTCCTCAAAGCCTCATCCAAAGGGACAAAATGAGTGTTCTGTTAGAAGAAAGAATGGCAGGACAGACTTTAAGCAAG